TCTGTCTCTTCCTGGTCATCTTTCTCTGTCTACTTTCCTCGCTCTCTTTCTCATGTCTCTTCTCTCTGTCCATTCTCTGTCTCTCTCTGTCTCTTTCTCTGTCATCTTTCTCTGTCTCTTTCTCTGGTTCTCTGTTCTTCTCGGGTCTCTTTCTCTGTCTCTTTTCTCTCTTATCTCTGTCTCTGCTCCCTTGTCTCTTTCTCTACTGTCTCTTTTTCTCATGTCCTACCTTTCTCCTGTCTCCTTTCTCTGTCTCTTTCTCTGGTCTCTTTCTCGTTCTCTTTCTCTTGTCTTTCTCTGTCTCTTCTCTTCATCTTTACTCTGTCTCTTTCTCTGGTTCTTTCTCTGTCTCTTTCTCTGTCTCTTTCTCTGTCTCTTTCTCTTGTCTCTTTCTCTGTCTCTTTCTCTGTCTCTTTCTCTGTCTTTTCTCTGTCTCTCTCTGTCTCTTTCTCCTTGTTCTCTTTCTCTGTCTTCTTCTCGTCTCTTTCGTCTGTCTCTTTCTTTCTGTCTCTTTCTCTGTCTCTTTCTCGTGTCTCTTCTCTGTCTCTTTCTCTGCTCTTTCTCTGTCTCGTTCCTGATCTCTTTCTCTGGCTCTCTTCTCTGTCTCTTCTCTGTCTTCTTTTCTGTCTCATTCTCTGTCTCTTTCCTCGGTCTCTTTCTCTTCCTCTTCTTCTCTTTCGTCTGTCTCTTCTCTGTCTCGTTCCTCTGGTCTCTTATCTCGTCTCTTTCTCTGTCTCTTTCTCCTGCTCCTTTCTCTTCTCTTTCTCGTCTCTTCTCTGCTGTCTTCTTTCCTGTCTCTTGTCTCTAATCACCTAGTCACTCTTTCTGTTTCTCTTTCTGTCTCTTTCTCTTTGTCTCGTTTCTCTGGGGTCTCTTCTTCTGCTCTCTTTCTCTGTGTCTCTTTCCTGTCTCTTTCTCTGTCTTCTTTCGCGTCCTCTTTCTCTGGTCTGCTTCTCTTGGTCCTCTTATACTCTTGCTCTCTTTCTCTGCTTTCTCGTTTCTCTTCTCTCTTTCTCTGTCTCTTTCACGCTGTGTCTCTTCTACTGTCATCTCTTTCTCTGTCTCTTCCTCTGTCTCTGTCTCGTCTCTTTCTCTGTCTCTTTCTTGTCTCTTTTCTCTGTTCTCTTTCTTGTCTCTTTCTCAGTGTCCTCTTTCTTCTGTCTCTTTCTCTGTCATCGATTCTCTGTCTCTTCTCTGTCTCTTTCTCATGTTCTCTTTCGTCTGTCTCCTTTCTCTGTCTCTTTCTCTGTCTCTTTCTCTGTTCTCTTTCTCTGTCCTCTTTGTCTTGCTCTTTTCTCTGTCTCTTTCTCTGTGCCTCTTTCTCATGCATCTTTCTCTGTCTCTTTCTCTGTCTCCTCTCTTCTCATGGTCTCTTTCTCTGTCTCCTTTCTCATGTCTCTTTTCTGCTGTCTCTTTCTCTGCTCTTTCTCGTGTCTCTTTCATCTGTCTCTTTCTCTGTGCTCTTTCTCTAGTCTCTTTCTCTTGTCGCTATTCTGCTTGTCTCTTTCTCTGTCTCTTTCCTCTGTCTCTTTTCTCCTGTCTCTTTCTCAGTTCTCATTTCTCTGTCTCTATTCTCGTGTCGCTTTCTTAGTCTCGTTCTCGTCTCTTTCCTCTTCTCTTTCTCGTTCTCTTCTCTGTCTCTTTCTCTGTCTCCTTTCCTCTGTCTCTTTCTCGTGGTCTCCTTCTCATGATCTTTTCTCATGTCTCCTTTCTCTGTCTTCTTATTCTCTGTCTCTTCTCTGTCTCTTCATCTCTGTCTTCTTTCTCGTGTCTCTTTCTCTTGTCTCACTTTCATCTTTGTCTCTTTCTTTGTCTCGTTTTCTCCTGTCCTTTCTCTGTCTACTTTCTCTGTCTCTTCCTCTGTCTCTTTCTCTGTCTCTTTCTCTGATCCTCTTTCTCTGTCTCATTTCCTCTGTCTATTTCCTCTGTCTCTCTTTCTCCTGTCTCTCTTTCTCATGTCTCTCTTATCGCTTTGTCTCTCTTTCTCTGTCTCTCTTTCTCTGTCTCTCTGTCTACTGTCTCTCTTTCTCTGTCTCTCTTTTTCTGTCTTCTCTATTCTCTGTCTCTCTTTCTCTGTCTCTCTTTCTCTGTCTCTCTTTCTCTGTCTCTCTTTCGTCTGCTCTCTCTTTCTCGTGTCTCTCTTTCTCTGTCTCTTTTCTCTGTCTCTCTTTCTCTGTCTCTCTTTCTCTGTCTCTCTTTCTCTGTCTCTCTTTCTCTGTCATCTCTTTCTCTGTCTCTCTTATCTCTGTCTCTCTTTTCTCTGTCGTCTCTTTTTCTGTCTCTCGTTCTCTGTCTTCTCTTTCCTCGTCTCTCTTCTCTGTCTCTCTTTCTCTGTCTCTCTTCTCCTGTCTCTCTTATTCTCTGTCTCTCTTTCTCTGTCTCTCTTTCTCTGTCTCTCTTTCTCTTTCTTTCTCTGTCTTCTCTTTCTCTGTCTCTCTTTCTCTGTCTCTCTCTTCTCTGCTCTCTCTTCTCTGTCTCTCTTATCTCGTCTCTCTTATCTCTGTCTCTCTTTCTCTTCTCTCTTTCTCTGTCTCTCCTTTCTCTGTCTCTCTTTCTCTGTCTCTCATTTCTCTGTCTCTCTGTCATCTGTCTCTCTTCTCCATGTCTCTCTCGTTCTCGTCTCTCTTCTCTCTCTCCTCTGTCTCTCGTTTCTTCCTCTTTTTCCTCTCTTTCGCTCCTCTCTTTTCTCTCTCTCTTTCTTGTCTCTCTCTTTCTCTGCTTGCTTTTCTCTCTCTCTTTTCTCTCTTCTCTCTCTTTTCTCTTCCCCGAGTCCTTTTCTCTTCTCTTCTCTCTCTTTCTCTCTCTTTCTCTGTCCTCTCTTTCTCTCACGTCTCTTCTTCTCTGTTTCTCTCTCTTTCTCTTCTCTCAATCTTTCTCTCCTTTCTCTCTCTTTCTCTTTCTCTCTGCTTTCTCTCATCTTTCTTCATATCTTTTCTCTGGTACTATCTCTTTCTGCTCTCTTTCCTTCAGCTTTCTTCCGTCTTCTCCTCTCCCTCTCTCATATTCTCTCTCTTCTCTCTCCTCCCTCTTCTCTCCTCCCCTCCTCTCTCTTGGCCTCGTCCTCTCTTTCCTCTCTTTCTCTCTTCTTTCTTTTCCTTCTCTTTCTCTCTCGCTCTCTCTTTCTCTCCTTTCCCGATCTCTTTGCTCTCTCTTCTTTCTCATCTCTTTCCTCTCTCTCATTTCCTCCCCCCCCTTTTCTCCTCTCTTTCTCCTCTCTTTCCGACTCTGTCGTCTTTTCCCTCTCTCTTTCCCTCTGCCTCTTTCCTTTCTCTCGTCCTATAGTCATCCTCTCTTTTCTCATCTGCTCATAGATTTCGCCATCGTCTCTTTCTCATCCCACGTCTTATTTTTCCTCCATCCCCTCAGTCTCTCCTCACAACTGCTCCCTTCCTCGCTTTTCTCCTCCTCTTTCCTCCCTCCTCCCTCTTTCTTCTCTCACCTCCCTCCTCTTTCTCGCCCTCTCTCAAGATCTTTTCTCTCTCTTTCTCTCTCGTTCTCTCTCTTCTTCCTCTCTCTTTCTCGTCTCTTTCTCTCTCTTTCTCTCATTCTTTCTCTCCTCTTTCCTCTCTTTCTCTCTCATTCTCTCATTCTTTCTCTCTCTTTCTCTCTGCTTTCCTTCTCGTCTTTCTCTCTTCTTTCTCTCTCTTTCTCTCCTCTTTCTCTCTCTTTCTCTCTGTCTTTTCTCTCTCTCTCTTTCTTCCCTCTATTCTCTCCTCTTTCTCTCTCTTTTCTTTCTCTTTCTCTCATCTTTCTCTCTCTTTCTCTCATCTCTCTCTCTTTCTCTCTCTTTCTCGTCACCTTTCTCTCTCTTCTCTCTCTTTTCTCTCTCTTTCTCTCATCTCTTTCTCGCTCTCTTTCTCTCTCTTTCTCTCTCTTTCACTCTCATCTTTCTCTGCTCTTTCTGCCTCTCTGTTCTCTCCTCTCTTTCTCTCTCTTTTTCTCTCTCTTTCTCCTCTCTTTCTCTCTGCTCTTTCTCGTTCCTCTTTCTCTCTCTTTCTCTCCTTCTTTCTCCTCATCTCTTTCTCTCTCTCTTTCTCTCTCTTTCTCTCTCTTTCTCGTCCTCTTTCTCATCTCTTTCTCTCTCTCTTTTCTCTTCTTTTCTCTTCTCTCTTCTCTCTCTTGTCTCTCTCTCTTCTCTATTACTCGTCTCTTCTCGCCTCTCTCTCTTCTTCTCTTTCTCTCTCCTTCATCTCTTCCTGCTCTCTCTCTCTTTCTCCTCTCTTTCTCCCTCTCTTTCTCCTCTCTTTCTCTCTTTCTTCTCTCATCTCTTTTCTTCTTCTCTCTCTAACTCTTCTCACATTCCTAAGTCTCTTCTCTTCCTCTCTTTCTTCTCAACCTCTCTTCTCTCTCTTCTCTTCCTCTCCCCCTTCTCTCTCTTTCTCTCTCTTTCTCTCTCTTCTCTCTCTTTCTCTCTCTTTCTCTTCTCTTCTCTCTTTTTTTCTCTCTTTTTTTCTCTTTTTCTCTCTCTCTCTCTCTCGCCCGTGCAGGCCAGATGGGTTGGGGTTGCATTGCGCTGAAGCGCTCTGTCGCTTGCCCTGCCAGACGCGCGGTGCGGGTGGGCGGCGCCGGCGTTCCTGCAGCAGCTGGCCCCCGGCTGGCCGGGGCCCGAGGGGGCGTGCGCGGCCGTGCGGCGCACGAGGGGGCTCGCCGCGGCGCGCCTCGCCCTCGCCCTCGCGCGCGTCCTCACCTCCGCTGCGCTCCTGGGTGAGTAGATGCAGCGAAGCGGTCTGTACAGTCCTTGCGAAAAACCAGTTGCACTTACAAGAACGGTGGAATATTTTCGGGTGCAAGGGAAAGGTAATTGGGAACATCACATTTTTACAACTTTGTCACTCGACGTGCACACACTCACTACTTACTGCACAAGCACGTTATGTTACCCAACCCCTGCAGACAGGAAAGCTGCTTGCAGCTCATCCACACGTTGCGAGAAGGGCGGAAGCCGAATACACGGTCCCAGCACCTCTCATACTTCTATAGCGGAAAGGAATGGTGAATAGGTGGCCGTGGCAGCGACTGCGAGCGAGGCCTGCTGCCGGTGCGGGCTGCTGTCACGCGGGGGATGTGGAGCGCAATGAGGCGCCTTCTAGAATCCTGTGAGTGGAGCCTGGGACCCTGTGACGCCTTCTGCAAGCCTGCGACACGAGCCGTCGCGCCGACGTTCAAACTGCTGGTAAACGAGTTATTGAGGTTAATAACACATCGCAATCAAACATACTGGCAAAGAGCACAAAATAAATCAGGCATTTGGAACGCTCCTAAATAGTTCGATAGCGACAGTTCTCCCTAGAGGTGGCGTGAAAGTTAAGTTTCCTGCATAAGTGCTGGTGAGATAAAAATAAAATATCCATCAATTGCAACACTAGAATGCCCAGAGTCATCATATCGGCTCCTGGCGATCTGTATGTTCTTGTAACTTCTTCGTTGTTGAAGATGGGATTTTGTAATTTTGTGACTTTTCATAATTTTCATTTATTTACAGTTAGTTTAAAATTGAAATGTGTAAAAAATATATTTCATGAACAAAAATATAATGACCTAAATCGCACTGGAGGCGTCATTTCGACTCCTTGGGTATTGTCTCCATCCTCAAGCTTTTGTTTCACATATCTCAACGCTGAATTTTATTAAATATCTCTCCTACGTTGTCGGATAGCTTCTGATGAAATATGCGACCATTCTTTTCTTCTTTTTTTTAATGCAAACATATCATCAAATTTAGAAAAAAATGAAGGAATAGCATTTTTATCAGCCAAACGTTGAAAAAAAAATTCTTGAAATATTTCAGAAAAAGAGAGATGATAAAATATAAGACATTGTTTGTGTTCATTTCAGTCTCCAGATGGTAATGGTTGTCAGATATTCTTAGATTTTTACTCACTTTTGTTTCATGACTTTCGGAACAATAAGAAATCAACGGCAAATTTCACTGCTTTTATCTGAAAAATTATTCGGCTTGGTTTGAAGCGATGCCTTTCCAAATTGTACCAACACTACGCGCTCGAGGAATCGAGTTGACACGCCGGCAACTGCCTTCCGCACTCGATGTGCACAGCGCACAGTTCGTGGCATAAAAACTGGTCGAAAGCAGTGAACAATACTGTTGTTTGGGAGACGATCACTAAAATACTGCGTGTCAATGTTGTTACATACATTGGAAATATTTTTGGAAGTTTTGTGAAAGACGAGAGAAAACACTTAGGAAATGAAGTCGTGATGGAATCACGCATAAGGATACGAAGCAGGTGTTGATCGAACGTATTGCAAAAACTGTGCTCCAAAATGGTAGTCTACAAGCAATTAGAGTTTTATATCCACAAGTATACATATTTATATTGTTTATGCCTAGTAAGGTCAGAAATATAGAAAGTAAATACAATGAAAACCTAAACAAAAACTACTGCAATTTGAAACATGACATTAAATTTGTTTTAGAACTCCATCCTCTAAGACATATCAAGTTCCTATTGGTATGAAACAAACATATGTAAATTTGTTTAAATAAATTCGACATTTTGCGATATAGTATCAGGAGTGCGTTGCAAGGAAATATATTTTTGGTTCGCATGTGAAACTAGTATTATTTGAAATTAAATGTTTATAGCATTATTCTATTATTATTATTATTCTATTATTATTATATGGTTTCTATATTCAAATATACTTTTCGTCATAAACTTTGCTCGTTTACTAGCGGACTCCGTTCAGCATGTTTCTTCAACATTGTTTTCGTGATTGAAAAGCAATGTTTAATAAATAATTAAGATGGGGCATGATAATTCTATTAACCACTAAATGTTTGGTTTTAATAACTTTATAGTTATGCAGAGAAATGTTTTGAAGGCTCGGAGTCGCACCAACCCGCTGGGCCTTGGGAAGCCAGGCGATCTAGGGCTAAACCACTTTAAGTTCTTCTCGTTGAGCGAATTTTCTGACGAATACGGAAATGCGCAGGCTGGAGGACGTCCACGAAACGGAGCGGCAGCGGTGAAACGCGCCTGGCTGCGTTCCCAAATCCGCAGGTGCGAAATCGTTGCCCATCCGCTACTGCGACGCTCGTCTGTCGCCCCGGTCTGAACGTGCTCATATGGCAGCCAAGCCTGGCCGAGACGAGCCGAGCCGAGCCAAGCCGAGCCATTCTCTACAGTCCTCTATTGAGTTAAATTTAATTTTTATCCTATCTTTTTCTAATTTAGTAGAAAATTTGTCTTTTGTAATAGCTTTCAGTTCACTGAGGTTCAGTTCAATAAGGGATAGTCGCGTACTTTATGAACATAAAAGGGGGGGTAACAATTGATTCATTTTCATCCCTTCCGTTTGGTGAATTTTCTTCGGACATATTTTGAAAACCTTGGTACCTATTCTTGACGGGCACGTTGTACAATATTATTTTAGAAGCATTGTTTTCGTCTGGTAGAAGTACGTGCATGCGTTTTAGACTTTTACCGTTTTCACTTAAACCACTGGTTGACTGTTGACTAATTGATTGCTGCGGGGCAACACCATA